GGCCTCGCGGCGGGGCCTGGTCGGGCCGCTCGTGGAGTTTCCCCGAGTCCTGTCTTACCAGCGGGGAGCGCGAGTCCAGGTTCTTGTTTTGGTGACACTTAATTGGGTGTTTGCTCTCAAAGGACCCTGTTAAAAATCCTAAGTAACCGTGTTTATATGGTAAAAAAAAAAAGTCTCTTTCCCAGGGTGGAGTAATATTCCCTGCGCACCGCACCCTACGGCCCGGAATGGCACTCGTCGTTCCCCACCCCGAGGGGTTAGTGATGGCATCGCTGGGAGCGGGGAGCCCCGAGGTGCACGTGGATGTGGGAGTGGGAGTAGCTGCCCACGTGTCCGCGCGGTACCGGTCCGGGCCCCCGGAACACGGCGGGACGGACACAGCGGGGCTACAGTTGTCAGTGCGGAGAACAGTAACAAGAATGAGCACCTGCCCGACTCCCCGCTGTAAACCCGCTGTCTTCCGCTCTGTATACTTAGTAGCAGTCTTGGTCATTAATTGTAGGGGATGTTGCTCTTGAAAAAAGTGTTTTCCTGCCCTTAAAATTGTATGTTGGTAGGTCATGTAGCAAAACATGACCTTGGTAGTTTTAGATTATCTCCCACTTTTTTTTTTTGCCTCTACATAATTTTCTATTACTAGACTTATCAGAGAAAAACTTTTTAATAGACCCATAATAGTATATTGGTTATGAAAGTGGTGCATCAGGCTAGAGTTCAATGTTATAAATAAATGTTCTCCCCCAAATACACGTTAAAACTATCTTCTACGTTAGTGTGAGTATTTTATTTGAAAGGTTCCCCCCCCCCTTTTTTTGGGGGGGGGGTATGGCACCTAAAGCATTGAGGTGTGCCGCACTTGGTGAGGCAGTGAAAATTGGTGTCCCCTTTTTGCTGTTTTGGAGACTGTAGCCCAGAGAGTTAAGTGACCTGCTCAGGATCACAGGTCTGAGAAGGTACAAGAGTCAGGATGGGTGGCCTTCCGATTCCTAACTAGTACCCTTCCTGTTACAGCGCCCAGGCTAGTACCATGTTGTATTATTAATTCGTTGTGTTTAGGCACATGCTTTCTTACTGAAGTTGTGTTGGCTGGTGCTTGCCTCTCCGTTTACAGAGACCTGAGTTGCATAACTTAGGATCATAATGCTGAGAGTCAGGGAAGTACTGGGATTTGGGATGCTAGCCACCCAGCCAACTCAAACTGAGCCTCTAATCTAGATCATCATCTGTTATTAAATATTAAGGCATCAAGAGTGGTTGGTGGTTCTGACATTCTAAACTTGAGCTATATTATCTTTTTTAATTATCCACATGAATAACTGAAACCATTACATAATTTTAAAATCATCTTTAACTAGTTTTCTTAAATGTACTAAAAGGTAACCAAATTGGCCAATTTTGAATTTTACTTATTTTGCTTTTCTGCATTTTCTAGCTATAAGCTGCTTGATCACTATTTAGGATGAGAGAGGGGAGAATTGCCCACCTTCATTAGTTATTAACTTTTGTCATTTCATCATCTGGAAAATGGGGACTAACTTTGAAAAGTTAGAATTATTAAATGAATGGCTCATAGCACTGAACATATATTCATTTTTTTCCTTCAAGGTTCAACTCCAAATGATATTTCGGTCATTCCATTTTTCCGATACAAGAATAGATTGATTGTACTAAGAACCTGGAATGTCCATTGTCTTTATGGCTCTGGAGTTGACTTTAGATGGTTATTGTGTGCTGTCAGTTGTGCCAAAAAAAATTGTATTGGGAAATAAATTCCTTAGCACATTTGTGCAATGTGAAAGTCAAAACCAGGTTCTATTTTGATTAATTAGTTGGATGTTGATGCTTTTAAATTTTAAACTTGTTTTAATTTGCCTTTTGCCAGACTGCCCATTTAACTATTGTGCAATATCATGGACTCTCAAGGAAAGATTGACTTGTCATCAGTTAAAGATAAGGGAGGAGTTTCTAAATGCTTATGCTTTGAATTCCCAGCTTACATATCCCATAATATGTGGAATGACCTGTGACTGATAATCGACATGTGAAATGCAAAGATTTATACCAGGCCTGTATTTATCCTTGACTTATATTACAAATTTTGAAATTTATTTTTGTACGTAAAGAAAATACAGCCTGGCCGGTGTGGGACAGTGGTTGAGCGTTGATCTATGAACCCAGGTGGTCATGGTTCGATTTCCAGGTCAGGGCACATGCCTGGATTGAGGGCTGGATCTCCAGTAGAGGACATGTAAGAGGCAGCCAATCGGTGATTCTCATCATTGATGTTTCTATCTTTTTCTCTCCCTTTATCGCTGATATCAATGAAAATATATTTTTAAAAAAGAAAAAAATATAAATATCCTCTAAGCAGTTTGTTTTTAAAATCTACCCAGCATCAAACTTTTTATAAGAGGATGTAAGCCAATGTTAGAAATTAAAATAACTCGCTGTTTATAATTCTAAAACTTAGAGATCACCAAAAATTCTACAGTGAGGCTTAGAAACAAATATTGTTATTGTCAACCTGTTGATTCTCCCTTGGGCTTTTCGAGAAATAGTGATTGAGGGTCTTTGTGGGGTCTTTTTAATGAGGAGTAAACTTGTAATTAAATGCTTATTTTGTGCCAGTCTCCATGCTAAAGTCTAATGTTTATCTTTAAAAATAGCACAATAATTTTGAGCCTTCGTGGTGGTAATCATTTTTAAATGGGGAAACTGAGGCTCAGGTTACGCTGCCTTTTTTTTTTTTTTCCCAAAGTTTGTCACTCTGTTCTGGAAAAGTAGGGCTAGTAGAACTTCTCCACCATGTAAATGCCCTTTAAAAAAACACTTTAGCATATTTATTGCTAGTTAAGTTTGCAATTAACTTTATTTTAATAGAATAAAAAGCTGAGTAACTATGTATTAAGAAAAGAATGAACAAATAAACCTGGGCAAAGTGTCAGGTTGTAGAAACTTATACTCATTTATAACTGGAATTTAATGTTTAATCTATATTAAATAGCATCCATAATACTTAAGTTTTATAACTAAGATTTTATTTTGAGTGGCTCTGGTGCCCAGTAACTAGGTAACAGGTAGACTCCCTATCCACAGTGGTAAATTTAGCTGTTTTCAAACTGTCACTAATAGAGCTCTGTCACAATACCTGTTAATATTAAGTTCCACATATATACTCAGAATTTTACAGGATTGTCATCTTGGTTGATTTGGGGGAAAAACTAGATTTGTTTATTTAGCTCACTTTTTTAAATTTAAATTCTTTATTGTTGAAAGTATTACATATGTCTCATTTTTCCCCCCATTGACCTCTCCCTGGCCGCTCCCACCCCCCAGCACATGCCCTCATCCCCTTACTGTGTCCATTGGTTATGCTTATATGCATGCAAGTATGTAGCTCACCTTTTATGATTTAATAGTAACAAGCAAATTCACTTGTTTAGCATATGTTTGAGTGCCTACCATGTACTGAGGCATCAGCAGTGAATGGAAGTTTTCTCATGGAGCTTATTTCATAACTGGGAGAAACATCCTATATAATAAAAGCCTAATAGGCTAAGTGTCTGATCAACTGGTCGGCCTTTCAACCAATCAAAGTGTAATATGCTAATGCCACTCAACCGCTCGCTATGACATGCACTGACCACTAGGGTGCAGACAGTCAACCAGTTGACCAGTCACTATGATGTGCACTGACCACTAGGGGGAAGATGCTCCAACTGGTAGGTTAGCTTGCTGCTGGGGTCTGGCCAGTTGGGACTGAGTGAGATGGACCAGACATGCCCTGGAGCCCTCCCATGGTCCTTCCTTGGCCCTGATCGTGCAGCAGTGGGGTCCCTTGGCCTG